ACTTGTAATAACATAGATTTTGCAAGCAAGTTTTGAATGACTTGTTTATACCAACAGCAAACTGTACAAATAATTCATTAGACACCAATTGTACTTGACACTAATCACTCGATGTTTGTGGTTTTGAAGTGTTACGCATATGCAAATTTATGCAAATATTGGATGCAGAATACTAATAGTAGGCCCACCCGTTAGCACTGGACATACAGCGGACACGCAGTAAATGTGTTACTGCATGTAAGCACACCGTGCTTTGATCATGGATCGATGGAGATATTAGAAAAATCTCTCAAGGGCATTTACATTGAACCGTACCCCTTATTATATTTACATCAGCAATCAAACTGCTGCACATTGAAAGCCATTGCTCATTACTGACAGTTTTCATTATGGAACAGGTTTTCATCACCTGACTGTTGAGGGGATTGCTAAATTAAGGTTGTTCATTTTGCATTACTGCAAATAGAAGATGCTAATTTTTAAGAAATGACAAAACTGGTTACAGGTGTACATGTAAGTGTATTCTTTTATGTAGCTGCTTATATTTCAAACTTCTCCATCAACCGATGCATAAAGCACTGTGCTGGTCCGTTACTGGTGTCGCTGGCATACAAAATCTTACCACTTACATGAACATGTACATACATGTATATAGAGTGTAACTCAGCATGAACCATTCAAACTACTGGTGGTATTGGTGTACAAAATATAGCTGTTTGCTTGGTATCATGTCATTCTTACTGCAAGCTACATGTATTAATAGAAAGAAAGGACCTTACATAGGGGGGGAGGACAATTCTCCCACATCTTCACAGATTCCTTCACCAGTATGTATCACAAGTAATTATTTGTGCCTTTCTCAGTTTTCTTTTCATGAGGCTTTTCAAACTTTCACATGGAATTAATTATAATTTGAGAACAAGGCAGGAAAACCTTTTTGTGAAGTTGCCAGCTGGCCCAACATCCACCTTGCCTAATGAATGTTTCATTATTCTCCCCGGCAATGTAAAGTTCTACATTGTATATTTTGCTGCTTCCTTGGGGCCTGTAGGGCAGCCCTTCTCCTTTTTGGTTTAATATCAAAGCCGCCTTGTTGAAATTGGCACCCAATTAAGGGTCATTACATTGCCAACCCAACAGCAGTGGAATAGCCATTCAGTCATTTCTGAGTTCATTTATCAGTTTTCTAATCTGATACGTATGAGTATGCTAGTTATTAGCCACAGCAATGGGCTTGACAATAACTGTGCATTGTTAAATATTAAAGTTAATGTATCACTATCAGTTTGCAATTATCAATAAATCACCCTCGTAATGTTGTTCAGAATCAATACGTGCCACGTAGATTCCCCTGCCTCAGAAACACCACTGCAGGAAAATTTTACCTACATGTACTAGAACCGGTATATGTAGCTTCAGTGTTTGTGCCAACCACATTGCTCGCCCAAAAAGTTGTTTAAAATTCTGTCTATCAGCTTATAATGGCCCATATTACATGGTAAAAATTTTGAGAATTGTGAATTGCCAGACTATATTTTTTGTGCACACTAAACCATCATCCGTGGTTGAAACAGTTAATGTTGAACAAAAAGGCAACATGGCTTATCAGATGTTATTCCTTAATGCAAACTGTTTGGAGCAAAGTCAAAAAATTCTATCAGTTTATATAAATCCCATTGTATAATGGGCAGTATTACATAGTAAACATTTTGAGAAATTGTATATGAATTATCAGATTATATCTTTTATGCACACTAAACCATCATCCGTGATTGAAACATGCTCTGGCATGTTGAACAAAAGGCAATATGGCTTATCAGATGTCATTCCTTAATGCTGTTTGAAACCATTTATTTAATGTGCAGTTTCAACGTTACAGTGAAATCAATTTATCAGACAGTACTGATGTATTAACAAGAGCTTCACAAGTATCATAATAAAAAATATCCCCAAACTAATCATCTGTATTGAAATTAAGATTAGTCATTGATCCAACATTTCTCATTCAATAATCAGGAGACAGAATATTGCCAGCTGTACAACATATGCTTTGTGTACATAGACCTAGAGTAGAATCTAGCCGCACTGCACTCCTAGCTATGCCTTACTCAAACACCACCAGTGTGTTAGTCAACATACTGAGGAGGCTTCTGTGGCGCCTCTCCCTTCCCTCAGCCTGTTGTGAGATCTTGTCAGATATTGTCGCCGCTGTGTGGTATTACATCCTTGCAGAGGGCTGGATGGCAAACACCTTTGCACTCCATTCACTGCTGGTTAAATGGAGCGTGCCTTTCAGGAACTTCCAGTTTTGTCTTTTTTTTTTGTAGACCTGAGTCAACACAGAAGTCTGAAGCCGTCTGGGACTCAACTTGTCAAATGTCATGTTTTGGGAAATCAGCTTGGTAGACGTTCTGAGCCTTTCACTTCACATCTTCTATTTTCTCATCTAAAAAAAGTTGTAAGAAGTGAACTTGAGTGGGTGGGATGCTTTTTTACTGAACCTTCTCTGGAATTGCTGTCACCCCAAGATGCTTGAATTTAACACTTACCAAACCTCTTCCACAATCCTGGACTTGCCTCATTTGTAACTGGCCCAAAGAACCTTCCATGGAGACACTGCTATGTCTTGTTTACGTGACCCACATGCTGCTCTGACTTTGGCCCATTCTCCGTAAATATTTGAACCCTTTTGGATAGCAAGACAGGTGAGTACTTTACAGTACCTTGCAAAATGCAAGACTACTTCTTGTCACTTCAAAATCTATTTTTAGACGGTTGTTTTCTGCTTGGAATCCCTTGGAAAAAAATAACGCGTCGTCTGCTAAAGTTAAACGTTACACTGGGACCTGTCTGTCAGCATTAGAAGGAAAATGTGCAGACAGGAATTTAACTTGTTTGTCCTCTCATCAAACGCTGTTGCATAATGTTTATGCCGTTTGTTGTTGCTGTAAATTTGACATGCACGAGAAATCTCACTTGAGGTCCAGAAAGTCAATGTGTATTATGAGCAAGTGTTCCAAAAGCTGGCTATAATGGTACGCATCTTGAAAAAAGTAGTTAGGTATACAAATAATGAATATTTATGATTGCAGATGCCAAAACAATTTTAAGAGGTGACAGATGGAACGTTTCATTCAGTGAGACTAAGACGAGTAGAATGAAAGTCTTCTTTAGATTGTACAAATATTTCAATATTTTGTATTCCTTAAATCTTATACGACACTGAAATAAATCCTGCAAATAAATCATCACTGCACCACTTGAGTGAATAACCATGAATGGATGGAATGTTAATGAATCCATTGATCTGTGGAATACCAATTATAGTTCGTCAGCACACTGGCATCATCTGTTTTCGTGTTTTTGAATTCCACTGTTGCACTGGCGTTGGTCCAGTTCTGACTGTGTATACTTTTTAAAAAGAAAGTGAACCTTGTGCACAAATGTATATACAACAAGGTTCTGTAAGATACAGCTGGGTGTCAGATGAGAAAATAGGCCATCTCACACCACTCAGAGTCTGGGTTGGGCTAGGACCAACCCTGAACATTTCACCAGCCCATTCAGTACATGCACTTCAAAGATTTTAATCATTATTTTAAAAGTATTTGTGTTTCATAGCAGTCAGTTTCTTATCAGTAATATTAGACTGAATTAAAATTTGTTCGCTTTATTTTCCCTATTTCCGCTGTGATCAGTGTAAAAAAATGTATAGCTCTAAAAGCACATTAGGATCAGTGTTAATTTGAGCCCTCTCAGCCCTGGCATGAAGCGGCCTGAAACAACCTAAACTTGGAAAACATTTGACACTGATGATTCTGACCTTTTGAAGCCTTTGTCCAGCGTTTGTAAGTTCTGTGCATCAGGTGTTGCTATAGAAGTGAATGTTGTATTGTAGGCGTCAGCACTGACGCTTGTGAGTTTACAGTGACTATGCATTCTCTACCGTACCTCAAGCCTCGGATCTATTTTGATCTTGCATAAGCATTGAGGGCAAGGATTTTTTTTAGACAAGTTGAGAGGACAGTTGATATAATGAGAGAACATGATATGACTGAGTCAATCCAACGAGATAAATGGATCAATAGTTGACTTTCCATTGTATTGTTTCATCTTGAAAGTGGAAGGAGTCTATTGTCGAAGTAAACAGGTGAAGAAAGCAACAAATACAAGTAATTTGAAAACTGTAAATTAGATCTTCACTGTCGCTTTTCCCGTAGTTTCTCATAACAAACAGCCAGCACTGGTAGTACAGCATAGTTTGGCGACGTTTTTGGCAAATAAGAAATAAAACGTACAACTCTTGTCTCAGATACATGATTGTTTCTCCTGTAAGTCCGTGTAGGCCATTTCCCAGCAGTTGAGCTGTGTAAAAAGTGTTCAAATATTCATTCTTCAAACGTTCATGTATTCAATATTGGATGACATATTCTGATGTCGGAGTACGTGTATGCAGCACAACCTCAGTGTGTAAGCAGGAGTCATGTTAGTCATTGTACAGTGTCTGTCCAATGGTCATACATGTACAAGTACATTAATGTCTAAAATACGGGTATGTTTCCTGAACAGTTTGGAACCAGTGAATTTTATGAGCCAGTACTCTGACATTGCTCTGAATATTTGGAGCTTTAAACATCATTTATTTACAGGAAAAACTGAAGTCAGACCAACACTTCAATGCTATCTGGAAGGCAATGATACTGATGTAGATACCACATAATATCTGTCTTTATATGGTACCTTGATATGGTACCTTGATATGGTACCTTGATATGGTACCTTTATATGGTACCTTTATATGGTACCTTGATACATGTATGGTACCTTATGGCACCTTTATATGGTACCTTTATATGGTACATTATCAGCTCATAGTACTGCTGGCCAGAAATATCAGAGCCAACTTTTACTCTTCCATGGGTGGGTTTCCTGTGTTCTTTAATGTGATTCCTTCTCTTTCCTCCACCCTCCTTTTCCCACCTACTCCTATCCATCTCCAGATTATCCTATGAAAGAGGAACTCATGAATCAGATTGCCAGTTTCCAGCGCAGTCGGCTGAATGAGCAGCGGTCTAGTATCTGCAACCTGCCAGGCCTCAAGACCAACAATGAGGAGGTGCTGGGCCAGCTGCTACAAAAGGGCAGTCAGGGTGTGCCAGATGATGACTTCTTTGACATGCTAATGAGGTGTCAGGTGAGATCTACATGTACATGAGCAAACTCATTTGCATAGGTTTGAATAAAATGGTCAGTATATGCAAAGGAGATTTTTACTGTTCGTTATTTCTATTTGGTCAAATGTTATCCATTTGGTCATCGTTTTAAAAAGAGCCTTTCTCTTGTATTCTTGGAAGTTGACCAAATTAAAAACCCACACTTCCTCAATTTTTAAAAAAGTGGTTTTAGACATTTCTTTGGAACTTGTTCTTAGAAAGTCAGATTGTCTTGGAGCAATATAACTTCCTTGACAAATTTCACCGGTCATTTATCAGTGTCTCTCATGCTTACAGGTATTTACTTTATGAAGTATATCCATTACTCATAGAGTGTTTGACAAACATATGGAATGTTGTAGGCGAAAAAAATAAAGAAAAATAAAAAAATATAACTCAAAATAAACTGACAGCTTATATTTCTGACCCTGCATCAATATCTAGACACCTGTAATTCAATCAATGCATGAAAGCACCTGACCAGAGTTTCCTCTTCAGAAAAGCCATTAAACCCAGCTATGACGTCAATGCTATTATGAGACTTCAGATACCGGGTACCATAGGAGCCCATTTCTGAGAAATGTTATTGCAGTCAGTCATTCTGCTCCTGCACTGTTGGAAATAGTTGCCTTGGGTGCTGACAGTTGAGTATTCGTGTATGCATGTGAAATTGACTAGAATTGGGACTTGTTATTTTCATCATTTAAGATCGCCCCTGAAGTATTTGGGTAATTCTCTTTTTGGCAGTCTTTGTATTGTGTACACAGTATACATGTACATGCTGATTGCTATCAGAATGGTACAACAAAATGGGTCGTATGAGGCAATTTATGTCTTGCTACATGTATTCTTTTTGATCAAACTAAAGAAAAAGGAATGTACCACAAATGACAAGGGAAGGTTGGTTTACAGAGGCAGTGTTAGGTTTTGCACAGTTGGAAAGGCATCTGTGAATGCCGATGCGTACTTGTACTTCTTTTGTTAATTTCAGTTGTGGCATTTATTCAAAATCAGTTTTTTGCCAGTACAAACTTCCTCAATGAAATGTTTGCTCTCCACCCGTGTACTTGGTTCCTACCAAACATTTATAGCCAAACTTTGAATTCATGCAGCATGAGCAATGTTCTGCTGTTGTTAGCAAATGTCAAGGACCATCCATACAAAACGTATTAACCTGAAGGAAAAACCAATTTAAATCAATCAAAGTAACTGACCTTAGCATCTTCGTTGAACAGCTACATGCATTTGACTACGTTTCCCTGACTTAAAACAAACTTCTCCGTGTCTGATGACTTAGACTGGCTTTTTTACCCATGCTGCATTACAGACAAAATGTCATACAAGACCTGCCTTTGTGAAACGTTCATTTAGATGGGGTCCTAGCACTGCTCTATGGCTGTGAAGATGATGCTGTCATCATTCAGTTAGACAGTGTAATGCAGGCCCAGTGACAGAAATACCAAAAGAAATTCTGGGTGGTCTTCAACTTTTTGTAAATGACTGTACAGTTAAAATATGGATTTGGCTATATCCTCTCAGCGGAGGACTGCCCAGAAATGTACATCTCCTCAAGCATATGTCTCCTTGGACATACACGTCTTTATGTACAATCCAAACGTGATGTACAGTACATTGTGTAACAGTTTGGCCAGATTGTTATTGCTGTTTCGGTCATGTCGCACGAGGAAGTGCAGAGGCTATTGGTCGGCGATAATTCCTGCAAAGAAAGTATAAAACAAACTGAAAATCTATGTCCACTGTAGTTGTCTAAGAATTTCCAATCAACCTGAGAATATTTTGTTTGTTCAAAACAACTGCAAATACCTGAGTTGTTCCTCCGTACATTGCAGTGTATGCAGTGGCGTCCATGTTGCTGATGAAAATTCCTTCATACTACCTGACCCTGAGCTGTGGTTTTTTCCCCATGGGTAAAAAAAGTAAAGTTTTAGTACTCTATATTGATTTACCCTTCCTTGGTTTGTTTGATGCAGGGTTCACGAATAAATGACCAGCGAAGTGAGCCCCCTGTCCTGCAGCCTGCCCCTACTGTACCAGATGAAGATTTCTTTGCCTTGATTCAGCGCATCCAGTCTAAACGAATGGATGCTCAACGGGCGGACAAGGGACCTCAGGACCAAACCAAATAGCAATTCTCTGTTACGGACAAGTAAAAAAAAAGTTGGCAACATTGAAGAAGGTTGTAAATCTAGACTTTTGCAACTCCAGCGGCATGGCTCGTCGTCCTCATCAATGTCGCCCTCAAGCTCAGAGCACGAATCAAGTAGCCTTGCTCCATGAGGCAGGAAGTCCAGTCCTTTAGATGCCATGAGCCAAGTCACCTCGAGAAAAATGTCTGTCTGACTGTAAAGTGATTCCCCTATGTTAAAAAGAGCTTAATGTCAGTGTGATCTCCATTGTGTTGAAGAGTGCTGGCGTGTTTTGCACGTATAAACAATGATGGAGTAGGATGAGGTATTGTGCTTCTCTTGGGCCTTGGGTCATGTTGTGTGCGGGGTGTTGGTAACAGAGAAGCACTCCCAAGATGTTACGAGGCTTAGGGAAATAGTCTTGTGAGCCATGCAGTGGCAACTCAAACAACAAAAGATGTGACAAAAGCGTGACAGGTACTTGGAACCTCTGCCTATTTAATCAATCCCCTGTCTGTTTTCTTGGAGGATTCTCTAGTGTTCCACGTATGTGTCAATGTGACGGACCGTTGTTACCATGTGTGTCATTGTGAAAGTAGTCCTAACCCAGTGGAAAGACACCACACAAAAATGAGTTCAGGTTTTGCCGCATGCGTAGATGTCACAGTGATTTCACTCACGGAGATGTTGCAACACGTTTACACCTTGTATGTAGTGAAGCCCACTAAACCTTAACCAGTTGTTTCATGCGTTCATCTTAAACTCTTCCACTCCTCTGTTAGGCACCACAGCTGGTCCAGGTTCGAAAAGTGTTTATGAGGTGCCTTTGTTTTTAAGACTGTCTTACTTGAATGCATTTGTAGTTTTACTTCATTTTATTTATTTTTAAGGAGAGTTGTAGTGGCCTGTAAATGTAACGCAGTTGTAGAGTTATCTCCAAGATACAATCAGAATGAAATCTGCTCTGTCACAAAGGATGATGTACCGTGTAAGAAGTAGGTCTAACCAGCCCCGCAGTCAAATCCTTGGCACAGAGCAAGACAGGAATTGTTTTAAAAAAAAAAGAAATTTTACAAGTCCGAAATGAGAGCCCGGAATACTGATTTGAGCCCTGGACCCACCACGTTATACCCAAGCCCAGACTTCAGTACACTTTTGTACAGTAATCGTGTCCTTGGATTAATATAGGAGGAGACCCAAACATGGATTTGTAAAGCCCAGAAGCCCATTTTGTAAACCGTATGTGACTTACACCATAGACAAGATTTCATGGCAAATTTGTGTTGTAACTGCAAAGCGTACTCTTAGTCAGTTTCACTTGCAGCTTTACGTTGGCTGTCAGTATAATAGGATTGTTACAACAGGCACAAATTTTGAAATAGCTCCTTCCTCCATTTCGAAAACAGTTTCGCCTGATTTTGTTCAGAATAAGGTTAAATTGGTCATGGGTGTTACAGTATGGCATTGCACTTAAAGACAAAGCAAAGCTGTGAAATTTCTGGCCTCAGCCTTAATTTGTAAGTTGTTTGTTGGCAAATAATATTCCAGTGATTTGTCTCGCCACAACTCACACTACCGAGTTGAAAATTTATGCAATAGACCTACCTGAAAGGGTCATGATTGGTTTGACAATTGACCTGGCCATTGGTCAAGGTTTAGTTAAAACGTGCTGTTAACTTTATGGATTTAAGCCTGTCATTGTATGGTTAGCTTCAGTAATGTCGTAGATTAACTCCAAACATGTTGAGCCTGTTTTCCCAGTTTGAGGCGTTAATGGACCTTACATTTTACCTTGCATTGCTGTTCAAAGTGGTACCTTGAACAGGGATATGACTGCAACAGTGTCATAGACTTACCAACAAAATATATTGCTCGCTTCCAAATTTCATGGCTATACATTCCTTGTCCAGCAAGCATGTCATGTACATATCAACAACAGTGTTACTTGAAAGTACAGAAACTGTTGATGGTAAGAGCTCTTGGCTTACCGGATGAATGTGACTTTGCAATTTAGTGTGAATCTTGGTTAGGAACTATGCAACAGTCACTTACAAAGTGATCCATAAGCATTGATGTGTAGATAATGAATCATTCAAAGCTTTGCTGTGGCATTTTCATTTTGGTCACTGATAGTAGTTTACAGTGGATTAGAGAAAATTCATATTGGACGAGTCTTGAGTAACAGAAGAAAACAGCTTGTATCGTGAAGTGGGAAATCATATTAAATTCCAAGGTTTTCGCATTGTTGACCTATCTCACTAAAATTCTGTCCACTTAAAAAAAAGAATTTGATAGCACTCAAAGCATTGTTTACAGTGTTGTTGTTGAGTCCATCATAAGTCTCTTGCCAAGTCCTTTCACATTTCCAGTCAAAAGTTATTTCACAAGGCCAGTCGCAAGTACCAAGATGAACAAATGAAGGTTTTTGTCACAGTTCATTTAAATAGTTTTCATATGTCTTGACTTCTGAGTAGATAGTTTGTGACTGACTTGTGAGAGACTTGCAGGGACTCATTTCCAGCAGTGCACAAGCCTCCACTGTACAGATGTTGTGTGAGTGATTGAGGGCTCCTTGTTACCTAGCAATGATCCCCCTGGGACAAACACACCAAAGTGTAGGCAGTGGCTTACGTATGTTTGGTACCGAATGCGTATAATTTATTCTCTTCATACAAAATGTCGAATCTCGCAGTGTTTTTACGTGGGCGATGGACACACAAAAGCAGTGTCATTGACATGTTTGTCCAAGCTCTCCATTTGTCACGGTACGTGTTACAGGGTTACTAGCATTGAGTCTATAATGGACTGAAGCTACAGCAAATCAAATGGGGGGGAGATACAAAGAGGTGGTTTTTGTTTTTGACAAGGAAGGCATGCAGGGTTGCCAAATCTCACACATTGAGTTTTAGACTCGGATATTTTAGGTTATTCTCGTGCTTTCATATGGGATTTCTCACACATAATAAAAATATATAGACTAAAAACTACACAATATTTTAAAAACCAATTAGCTCCACCCTTCCCTATCCTATTCTCACCTAACAATGACGACATTCCATGGTCTGTAAGCTCATTTCAGGCAAAGAACAAATGATGTGATTGGTTTGCCATTAGAGCTGCAAGATCATAGACGTGTTTTGTGCATTGATTTAGGACATAAGCTGGTGTCAGACACAGCCTTGCCAGCTATGACTGTGTCCATTCTCATGTAGAACTTGACAATTTTGGTAGCCCTGCCCTTGGAAACACAGAGACTTAAGTGTGGACTTGAACCAAATTTATATGAAGTCAAGAGTCAGCCAGTGAACATAACTGAGATGGTTATTCACGTGTTAATTTAAAAACTGGCCCAAGGTAGTTGTTTGTTAATATAAAATGAGTTGTATAAAGTGGCTGTACATGTGACGAGTGTCTTAGCAACCCACATTTGTAAGCCTGTACATATTTTCCCCACGATGTGTAAATGGACTGAATTTGTAAGATGTGATTTTGCAGAGAGTTTTTAAGTACAAAAGTGCTGTGATTGCATTTGGGGTGGGGGCGTGGGCTTCATTTTTTTTATATGTATGTACGGGGGAATATATTGTAAATATCTTTTAGGGGGGTTTGGCCCCCACCACTGAGCTGTGTCACTCATGTGGGTTTTGAATTTTTTTTCTGTTAATATCAGTGAGTGCAGATATTTGTTTGGATTGAAATGAATGAACGTGTGGATTCTAGTCCTGTACCAGTGAATTTGTCATGTGCACACAGAGGGCGACATTTTGATTGACAAAGAGAGCGCCCCATATGATGTAGTCTCCAACTGGTGCAACGCTACAATAAAGCAGCACGGTAGATGTTTTCTGAAATAAACAAGTGCGTGAGTTTAACTCTTTGTAGAAATGTGACTGTCATCCCCCCGGGGTTTGCTGTGCTATTTTATCTTGTCCTTGCAGAAAAGTGCCAACAAATTTGCTTAGATGACAACAATTCATCCATTTATGCTTGAACCACTGTGGTACTTCACCGACACAAATGTCACTGAAACTGTGCTCAAATTGCAGTAAAGAATGGCACGAGGAAACTTTTTTCCCAAAGTGTGCTCCATATTCTCACAGTTATAGCTGTGAGTGAAAATCTGTAAATTTCAGCAGGCATAATGTTAGCCTAATGTGAATATCAACCCTCCTATAATTACCTTTTTAGACAAAGGATGTGCTTTCAATTCTCAATTTCTGTCAAATGCTTGGAAAGTTGAACTAATTTGTCTTTTTTGAGTGTTGTTCAGGATTGAAGGTGGATTTGGTGTGCAAAATATTTTTTTGTATTTTTGTGACCGAATGATAAGAATTACTGCTGAACATGTAAAAGGATTCAGCATTTTTGAACAAGTGTTTCCCTTTGAACTGCAGGAGCTGCACAAACTTGAATGGAGACGCTGGCTGGATTGCCCTATCTTCAAATGCCAATACATGTATATTAGTTGCTTGCGCGGCGTGTACGTGCCACTCCCCGTGAATAAATCTCCCAATGTGTATGTGGGCCGGAAAGATACTCCTTATTTTTGAGAAAATTTGCACTTTTTATATATTAGCACTTAATTCAAGTGTTTTTAGTTTGTCTTCTTTCCTGAGACATAAAGTATAAATAGATAGTTCATTTTTTTGAGATTTGACTGCATGGGTGCAGTGTCAGGTCAGGTTGACGGGAGTGCCAAGTATCCTCCCCCCTCATCCGGAAGATGTTGAAATGCAAAGACAAAAAGATTCTTTTGAAAATTTCATTCTTTTCTTCCCAAAGTGTGTAACCCCACAGCCTCATGTCAGAATGACCTTGAAGATTATGTAACGGGGAAAAATGGCACACTATGTGGGAACTTGCAAAACAACCAAAACTCTAACTAAACCAAGGATCTTTGAGGGAAAAGTCGCAGGAAACTGAATTAATAAGAACTTGGACACCAATGTTTGACTTCAACAAAAGGACACAAAAGAATTTATCAATGAAGTACTGGAAAAAATGCAAAAAACCCAAAAGGACTAAAGGACTCAAAACCAACACCTAAAGACTAAAAACTTAAAAGGACTAAAAACCGAAAGACGAAAAATTTTAAAAGGACTGAAAAACCAAAACCTAACACAGTATATAAAATGGACCAAATGAGTTTACACTCAAGACTTCAATCACTGACTTCTAGCAGAATAGGGCTCAAGCAGAAAACCACACTCCAGTTAGGAGGTACAATACATGTGAAGTTGACTGGTCTCTGCTGATTTGCTACACTGAGTGTGGCCAGACCATGTGGCAATTCTATATAGGGGGAGCTGGGGCTTAAACAAATAAACGGGAGGCACACTTAAAAAAAAAATCAAGAACTTCAAACTAAAACTAAACATTTTAAAGGGGAACTACTTCTATGTAAAACGTGTATTTAATAACATACCTGTACTCGTTTCTGGCTCTGCCACAACTACATGAAGGCATTCTCAAAATTTGATGGCCCTGTCCCCACTGAAAGACCCCCCTCCCCTGAAAAGGAAGGTCTAAATCTGTTCTCTGTTGGGTTGAACATTAAACCATTTTTTTTTAAATGCTTAGAAAAAAATATCCATTGTACATGTATGTAGATGTGATGATAGTTGCAAATCTTTGCTTAATGTGTAAGGCCTTAAGTCTCATACCCCTTGCAATCAACACCTCAGCTTTTGAACAAACTCAACATGAATCCAGTACAGTGGAAACAGTTCTTTTATAATTTTGAATTGCAGGGGAAAGGAAAACTAGCAGTGAAATCTCTCAGTAACATTGTTATGACAAACTGATGATGGAAGAAAACGACTATGGACATGTGAGTGCACCTGTTAAGAGGTGAACCAAGTTCAATGCGATTGGAAATGTGCACGTCTTGTGTCACCTGAAATTACTCAGTTACTCAGCAGCTTTAAAATTCTGGAAGTTTCTCCAATACAAAATAAACGCTTGAAAGACTCTCCAACAGGTTTTCTTTTAACCCTAACCCTCCCCAATCCTTCACCTGTTGGAGGACTGAGGAGTGTTAGGGTTAATGAAGTTTAGTGTTTAAGTCATGAACCCGCTTGTAGGTTATGAAGTTCGTCTGAATGTTCAGGTGGAATCTGGTAGTGATTTGTTGAAGAAAACTCTTTTCCTTTTTTTTTTTTCAAATCAAATGTAATCAGAAAGAGCTTCGCGACTAATCGGCATTGTCTCCAGGAAATATATGACATTAACGTCAGCCACAACAATGTTTTAGCTTTTCCTGATCTAATTGTGATTTTTCTAAGAATTTTTGTAAATCTATTCTAAGATACAATACATCAATCTATTATTACGTACTTGCAAAAATGTAACATGCAGATCTGATGAGAAATTAAGCGCGAGGCCAAACAGAGAGGAAGAAAAGACACCGTCACAATGGTAGTAGAATCTACAGTGTTTTATTAAGAAACACGCCGGCGGACTAATATCCTTGAAAGTGTGGTGCTGATGAAGTTAACGAGGAAGACTAAACTGAAGG